TTCTGCAGATGTTTTTATCAAGTGTGATTATAAAAATCAAATGAAAACTTTTTTACCATCAGAGGCTGCTTATATTCACACACTGCTGCCACACAGCTGTCTTTACACCTCCTATAAAAGTGAGTTCTGCATAATAGGTCTCCTTTAAAGTGACTTAAGTAAGATTTTAGGTGAATTACTCCTTTAAAGAGTGTTGCTTAACAAGTTGCATTTGGTTTGCTGTGATGAAATCTTTTAATTAGGAAGCATCCGACAAGCCGTTATCGGCTGAATCTCTGTCATTCTCAGCTGTGACAGCGAGCGTACGTTTCTGCTTCTTATAGCGAACATTTGACAGACCTGATTATTGTGATTTCTATTCTGAAAGTGACACGGTAATGACAGCTGAATCATTATCAGCCATGCAAAGGTTGACGCTCCCTCTCTCCTAATGAGCCGTCTGCCTTCTGAATGGCATCGCACTGTTTCTTTCCTCCGCTTGAAAGGTTAAGATTCAGGATGTCAGCAAGTTCTGCGAGAGACGCCATACAAATAAAGTGCAAAGCGAAAACTTTTCATGCAAGTGTCATGGAGGAGACGCAACTCTGACACCAAATAAATGTTGGATTCTGAATTGAAAACTAAAAGTTTCATTTGTCACATTTACGACAACAAAAATACTTTAACTTTTTTTAACCTATTCATTTTTATAGTTTCCCAGCAGGCACAGGACGTCAACATGACGTCTGATTGACATTGTACCTCAAAGTAGTGGGACGTTGCATGTTGTTTGGAAATGGAAATAAGGTTGATGTAAGAACCCAACATCGGACCAACATCAGTGTTCAACGTCCAACCTAAAATCGAGCAAATATCAACGTCTAATGATGGTACAGCTTGACGTTGTGTGGACGTTACCAATATGACGTCTATCAAATGTTGGATTTTGGTTGTCATACTGATGTTTAAATGTCAGTATTTGACGTCAATATGATGTTGGTTTAAGATGTTGGCTCGACGTTGGATTTTGGCCACTTTCAAATACAACCTAAAATCAACCAAATATCAACATCATTTGACGTCATTATTGGTCATCAATATAACGTTGTCCTTAGACGCTGGCTAGACATTGAATACTGGTCGCCTGACATAACAACCTAAATCTAACCTAATATTAACGTCTTAAGGCGTTGTGTGCCTTCTAGGTTTACAATATCTTTGCTATTGGTTTGCTTGTTTCATGTCAATAATTAGATTTAAAAGGCGTTGGCGCTAAAAGAGCAAATACATATCGAATATCTTTAATCCATTACATTATTATGTTCATTCATTCATTTACCTTCAGCTTAGTCCTTTCATTCATCTGGGGTCGCCACAGCGGAACCGCCAACTTATCCAGCATATGTTTTACACAGCGGATGCCCTTTCAGCTGCAACCGACTACTGGGAAACAACAATAACACTTTATAATAACTACACACTATAAATCATTTATTAAGCATTAGCATATCGTGAATTCATTATCTGTTAAGCATTAACTCTACATTAATAAGCGTTAGTAAGCAGTTTAAAACTGCAGCTACAAATGCTGTACTCTTGACTTACAAACATATTTAAAATGTGCTTAATAATTGTATTTTCATACTTTATTAATGATTTATTTTTCATTACTAAATTAAGTATCACATTATTTACAAACCAGTTGTATTTAAGAGTAGTTGAGGGTTTTTAGGATTGTTCAGAATGAGTTAGTAAACGATTAATAAACTATTGAAATCAACATTTATATGTCTTATTATTCAGCCATATACGAATAGTTAACTAATATGTTAATAAATGCTTTATTAACTTAACTTCATGCAGTTTTGTGACCTAATCTAAAGTGAGGACTATTTATGCTTGATAAATCCTTTTTAAATGACAAATAAAGGCTTAGAATCAAATGAATAAAAATCTTTGCAATCTTTTCTAAAAAGTAAAATTACTGTTCCATGGCGCAGAAATGTAAACAATACATTTATGATCAATAAGCAGCCCCAGATAGCACAGACAGCTGTCATCTCTTACCTTATGCTGTGCACTTCAGGGCCATTCTCCTCTGTTTTTGAGGTGATGTGCATGAGTAATCCTTTTATATGTCTGATATGGTCCAAACACAGTGAATTATGTTTGATCAAACAAAAGAATAGTGAAATATGTAAACAATGATCGCTCCCTGTGGCTTGTACAGCACCTCTCATCAGTTGGAATGCAATAGCTTTAGCATAGATTATGGTAGAGACCTTTTTCTTTTTTCCTATGATTACAGACATGTGCAGGAACCACCAAAATTAATTACAGCACGCTAGACCACACACAACCTAAAAGGCACACTTTCAAATCTGAGTTTATAAAAAAAAAAAACCCAAAAAGCGCCTCTTTTTTTAGGTGTTTATTATAACACAGACGACATATACAGTTATTTTAAACACTTTCAATAGTGTTTTATGAAAATTCAAAGGGTTTTCTTTAAAACGATACCAAATTTTTGCATTTACACCTCTGCATGTGGATTTGGGAAGCTTTTAAATTTGGGTAGGCAAAATCCAGGCGGAAATCCCAAAATAGCAGCAGAGTTTAAGTGGCTAAAAACCACCATTTTGAAAACACGTGTCCATATGGACCGGGCCGTATAATTTAGCTTCTAACATGCTAACAGAAAGATGCATTAACACTAAATAAGCCATTGGCACAGACCTGATATATGTGTGTGTGTTACGTGCGTGCAGTGTAAGTGTCACCTTTAAAACGTACAACATTTTCCTTCTATTTTTACTGACTACTGTACAGCCGGCTATTTCCATATGCAGATTGTACATTCATAACATATTTCAGTGTGTTGAAACATCATGTTCTAGCGGCACACAGGCTATGTTGAGCGCACGTCGTGAAACATGCCGTTCGATCCTTCTATCATTCTTCAAAGGAATACAGTAACCTAGATTTTAATTATGAGCTGTGTGTGTTAATTATCAGTTCCATCATCAGCGCTTGTCAAAATGAAATTCATTTGCATTCTGCAGTCTGACACAGCACCGTCCCTCGACTTTAATCATTGTCTACCAGGGTGACAGAACAACATCCTTGTTGTCACAGGTTCGCTGGTGTATTCTGATCTTGTCTAATAGCATGTGAGCAATTCTATACAAATGTCAAGCTTAGCATGAAAAAAATGAGCCAAATAGTGAAACCCTTTCTAAGTTGTTTTGTGTCGGCTTATATTTTACAGTACTGTAAAAATACTCAAAAATGTCTCCATCAGTGTTTTAAACTCTTATTATTCATCAAACAAGTGGCAATTTCACATCAGTCACATCCATAACCAAGCTTTATCCTCAAAATAAAATCAATCATTTGTGTTCTATAGTGAGCAGCTCTTAGCCTTTTGATTAGCATTGTTTCTTTTGGGTTGTGCAGTTTAATTCACAGAATTTCGTGTACTGTAAACTTACAGACTTTATTGGTCACATCCATTTTTACCCCTCATTTAAAAATATACAAAAATGTTTACAGAATGATATTTTTGTGATCCCATAACTCTGTGGTGAGTTGTTTTGGGAAATACGCTCAACGGCCACTTTATTAGGTACACCTGTCCAACTGCTCATGAGCGCAAATTTCTAATCAGCCAATCACTTGGCAGCAACTCAATGCATTTAGGCATGTAGACATGGTCAAGACGATCTGCTGCAGTTCAAACCGAGCAACAAAAGTGGCTTTGAACGTGGCATGGTTGTTGGTGCAAGACTGGCTGATCTGAGTATTTCAGAAACTGCTGATGTACTGGGATTTTCACGCACAACCATTTCTAGGGTTTACAGAGAATGCTCAGACAAAGAGGAAATATCCAGTGAGCGGCAGTTCTGTTGGTGCAAAAGCCTTGTTGATGCCAGAGGTCAGAGGAGAATGGCCAGACTGGTTCTAGCTGATAGAAAGGCAACAGTAACTCAAATAAGCACTCGTTACAACCGAGCTCTGCTGAAGAACATCTCTGAACACACAACACGTCCAACCTTGAGGCGGATGGGCTACAGCAGCAGAAGACCACACCGGGTGCCACTCCTGTCAGCTAAGAACAGGAAACTGAGGCTACAATTCACACAGACTCACCAAAACTGGACAATAGAAGATTGGAGAAACGTTGCCTGCTCTGATGAGTCTCCATTTCTGCTGACACATTCAGATGCTCGGGTCAGAATTTATCATCATCAACATGAAAGCATGGATCCATCCTGCCTTGTATTACCGTTTCATGTTGGTGGTGGTGGTGTAATGGTGTGGGGGATGTTTTCTTGGCACTCTTTGGGCCCATTAGTACTAGCTGAGCATTGTGCCAATGCCATAGCCTGAGAATTGTTGCTGACCATGTCCATCCCTTTATGAGCACAGTGTACCCATGTTCTAATGGCTACTTCCAGCAGGATAACACACGTCATAAAGCCTGAATCATCTCAGATGGGTTTCTCGAACATGACAATGAGTTCACTGTACTCAAATGGCCTCCACAGTCACCAGAGCTCAATCCAATCGAGCAGCTTTGGGATGTGGTGGAACGGGAGATTGGCATCATGGATGTGCAGCCGACAAATCTGCAGCAACTGTGTGATGCTATCATGTCAACATGGAGCAAAATCTCTGAGGAATATTTCCAGTAGCTTGTTGAATCTCTGCCATGAAAGATTAAGGCAGTCCTGAAGGCAAAAGAGGGTCCAGCCCGGTACTATTAAGGCGTACCTAATAAAGTGGCCGGTGAGTGTATAAACGGATGCTTCAATATAATGTTAGCATATACTATCAATGTGTATTTCTGAGTTTCTACAGCAAATGTCTTGTCTGTAACGCAGGAATTGCCTAAATTCTGTGAAACACACGAGAGTAGTTTATGCATTTAAGCATTTCTGTCAATTCTAATGAGTTATGGTGTCTGGTGGCAGCTGGCCCGCGGGGTGTTAAAAATAGCCAGGTCAAGTGCCCTGGTTACACGGGCCAATTTAGTTACAGTTGACACTCATAAGAGCTGCTTCTGGTGCCAGACGCATAATTGACAGAGAACAGTCAGACGGGTAAGCAAGCATTTAGTTTTCATTTCGTTATTGCAGCCATTTTTTGTTATGCTGTTGGATGCGGAGCTCTTTTGAAATCGCAATTAACACTGCTGGCATTTAACACAATTTCATTGCTTTTAAATATAGCATGAAAGCACAGCGTTCTAGAATTAATCACGGAAGCAATTTCACGAGGTGTTGCTTTTGCCAGATAAGTGATGGTTCCCTGTATTATATAACATGAAAATCTTCCTAATAGTATTATCCTTCATTTTCTACCATGTTTATATGTAATCGACTGTCCTGGTTAAAGAGAATGCACGCTATTAGATGGAGCTATTGTAAACAAATGCACATTTTACGGTTAGTTTATGCCGGAGAACGTTCGATATTAAATCTTCCTCCTTCCCTGACAGCTTCATCTTTGCTCACGTTAGAAGTCTCTGTAATAATGGACAAGAACGCAGAGGTGTTAGCGTGTGGCGCTTCAATTATGAAGGATGTCTGGGAAATCCGACTGAGGGAGTATCGACAGAAGCGGCAGATGGAAGAGGAGAGGATACGGAGGAGTGCTTTGGAAAGGTGAGGACCCGCAGAACCTCTCATTTTCATGCGTTTGTCAATCAGAAACTGTTAGTATTCAGAGTTTGTGTGACTTAAAAAAAGCATATTTGAAGCATGATTTTCAGTTTGCTGGTATTTAAAGGGGTACTATTATGCAAAAATCACTTTTATAAGTAGTTGTGTTGCTGCAGTCTGGGATTATATCCAGCTTCCAATGGTAAAAACGTATCAGACTTGATCAAACAGTCTGCAGAAACACTTTGATTGACATTCTCGCTTTGTACGTGTCATCAGAGGGGGAAAGCCCCGCCCACTAGTGACCATCTCTACGTCATTAGCATAGGACGTTTGTTTTGTTCTTGAATCTGCCACTATGCTGACACACAGGCATCTGTAGCTCCGCCCTCTTTAAAAAAATCTCATTTGAATTTAAAGCGACAGAACAACACAATTTAGGATCAAAGCCTAAAAGGGTCAGTTTCAGAGAGTTGGTAGACATTATTTTGAGCTGACACTTCACACACACACACTTTAGGGAAGGGGTGCCCAAACTTTTTCTTATTAGGGCCAAAACCCAAACTTGATTAAGGACTGTGGGCTGAAGGTAAAATAGCACAGTGTATTAAAGTAAAGAGCACCCATGTTGAAAATCATCTTTTGTAAGCTGTTTAGACAGAACTGTGTGTAGGTACAGTGTGTCGACAGTCATATTAGGGTGATATAAAGAAAATAATTCTATTTTTAAATTCCTGATTTTAAAATAGGATCCAAATCCCACGCAATTTTGAGGTCTACCGCGACGTGATGTAGGAGTGCGGTTTCACCGCCCACTGAATGGATTGACAGCCGCGAATTAACATGTCTTCACAGTAACTTGTATAATCATATCCACAACACAGGACGTGTGCAAAGCAACTGGGATTAAAAGATCTGTTCAGCGCTCTGTGATCAACCATCATCAAATGAGATCAAGATTGAGTTTTACAAGTTTAAAACGTTTTAAAACAGTGACTTATAGCGATTATAGCATCTTCCTCACCACAGCCACATGTCAGTACAATTATAAACGATGACGCTTTAATTCTGGTTTCTGGACATTAAATCAGGTTTATTATGTACATTAACAGAACGAATAACCATCCACTATATTAAGGTGTATCCTGACACATTTGCTGTGCTAAATGCGTTAATTGCTAAAGCTAAATGCGCGCTGTATGCGTGTCCGCTGTGTGCATTGTGTCATTGTGTGTGACTCATCGTTGCAGAAAAGCTTGAATTAACTCCACAACAAACAAATAAAATAACCATGGGTAAAGTTTTTACTTTAGTATTTCTCACAAACGTTAGAACGTGACGAAACGTATGATCTGCTTTCTTCATGTCCGTCACTGTGCTGTTTATCTGACGCAGTCGAGGCGGAGATTGAGACACACTATGACAGGCACATGGCAACGGTGGGCAGTGAGAACTAGCATTAAGTGCACAGACAACAAAAACAGCTACATTGTGTTTAAAGCAGAAAATTGTAATGTTTTGAAAGGTATAATAAATAATCTGAATGGAGTTTCGACTTGATACTTTATAGACACATTCTGGAGACACAAAAGAATTATCTTAAATCTAAAAAAATGGGTAAATATGGTGCTCTTTAAAGTTGCCATGAATAATTTACTACTTTATTATCCTACTATTTAACAACAACAAAAAATACAAGAACATTTTTTATTTGTAGTAATGCAGTATATATATATATATATATATATATATATATATATATATATATATATATATATATATATATAT